GGCCGCTGTCCCAGCGCTCTCAGGGTTCCCCCGGCGGGGCGAAGCTGGCCCCGGTCGGCGTTAATTCGTTTTCAGTCTTTTTTATTTATTTGATTTTTATTCCCGGGGATTCAGGCCGGTGCCACCTGCAAGCACCAGGGCTGCCGTGGGGGCAGAGCCGCTGCTCCCTGTTTCTCACCTCCATCCCTGTTTTGGCTCCCCTCCCGGGTTTTGCTTTTTGTTTTTTCGTTTCTACCGCGGGAAATACGCGTGTTCAACCTTATCCCGTTGCGCCAGAGGAGGGGAGAAATTCCCGAAAAGGGGAAGCGAGATGGACTCGGTGGCAGCGCAGCCTGGGCCGCCGCAGCCCGCCCCCCTGCTCCGGCCCCGCGTAACATTTACTGCCGTGGCCCTGAGGGCCAGAAAATTGGGCTGGGCAAGAAATGAGGTGCCCAAATCACCTCGGAGTAGCGACCAGCCCAGCAAAAAGCTCCGCTTTGGCTCCCGGCTGCAGCCTGACCCTTCTCTGTGATACTGCCGGTGCCATTTCCGCAGGGAAAGATTATTTCTGGGAGGAAATAATCGAACAGTTTTCTAAATATATATATTTATTATTATTATTATTAATTGAAGTACAAAAATGGTATAAACGTAGTATCGGGGGGGTGGAGTGCTAGGAAAGTTTCGCTGCTGTCTATGGGGAGGAGCTGGGTCTCCCCTTGCCGCGTGGCCGTCGCACGCTCGGGGCCGTCGCCTCCCTACGGGATCCCGCGTTTGGGCCCGATCCTGCGCGAGGGACACGGCTCCCTGTGGAGCCAGGGGCAAATCCAGCTGGGGCAGCTGTGCCGGGGCCATCGTCCCAGCGGCGCCTCATTCGCCTGGAAGGGAGGGAGCCCCCCATTTGGGAAAAATGGAAGGAGCGCGGAGGCCTCTGCCTCACTGGCTGCACTGCGGAGAGAAGCACTCGGAGTTTTAATTTCTAGTTGCTCTTAAATCGCAGGTTTTCCCCTCCATTTAGCCACCGTCGAGGCTCCTTAAGCTCGGAGGGACGCGGCTCCCGGAGCATCGCGTCCCCCCGGCCGCGAGCAGCTCCGAGCCCGGCTGCAGCCTCGCGCCGGCGGCGTTGTTAATAATATTAATTATCGTTACGGTTTTGCAAATCTTACTGAGGCAAAACTTCTGCCAAAGCCTGTGGGAACGGTGCCCGGGTAGAGACAGCAGGAGCAACCTCTGTCCAAAGGTCTCGGGGGGGAGTTTGATTAATTGGCGCTGGGAAAGTCGTTTGCAGGCTGCGGTGCAGCGGAACGAGCTGGAGGCTCCTCGCTTGTGCAGGAATGATCCGCTCCTCCTCCTCCTCCTCCTCTTCCTCGCGCGAGTCATCGGAGGAGCCCCAGCCCCCCGGCAAAATAAAATCGAATAACAAATATTAATTAAGCGGCTCTAAAGATAGAGCTGCTGTTTATAAATCATACATATATATATATATGTACATACACATATATACATACATCCGCATCTAGCTAGCTGCCGAGCTACTCTAGTGCGCGGCTGGGGCACGGCTTTGGGATAGACCCAAAACCAGGGGATCCCCCCCGGCTAAAAAATAAAAAAAAATCGTTTGGAAACAGAGGGTTAGCGCCAAATTGTCCCGCTCGCCCGTGCTTCTGTCCGTCCGTCCCTGCGGTCTCCGCAGGACGGGGCGCTCGGGGGCTGCTCCGGGCGGGGAATCGGATAGAAAATCCCGCGGAGCCCCCCCCGGCCCCGGGAATAAACGTGCCAAGGGGAAGAGGAGCAGCCCCGGCAACGAGAGCCGGTCCCTAGAGCTGCTCCCCTCTGCTAGTGCGGGCAGCGAAAACAGCCCCGATTCCCTGCGCTTTTTGTTTAATTTAATTTTATTTTATTTTATTTCTTTTTTTTTTATGTGGAGGAAGATATTGAAGCATTAGTTGCGGTTTTTGTTTATCGAAATGAAACTGCGGTGCTGCCTGCAAGAACGAGGAAGCTCCAACATTTGCCAACTAGCGAGTGTGTGTGAATATAAAAATATGTGTGTGTGTGTATATATACATATCAATATTGATATATATATCAATATATCTATGAAATAAATGGAAAAGCTTTACTCTTTAATAGCAATAAATGCACCTGCCTCAAGAGGGTTTTGTGCCACATGCCCTCATCAAGCTGGACGTTTTTGACAAGTCTCTGAATTGGGGTTAACAAATAAATTTTGGTAAATGCAGCATGCGGCTGTTGTTGGTGGCATTAGTGAGAGCAGAAATGCGCCGAAAAGACAGACCTGATAATTCTCATGTGGAAGAAACCCACGTTTTGGAGTAAGAAGGAGAAGAGGGACCTATGCAATCTATGTATACATTGATTTAATTTATTCTACTGTCGTTAATGCAGCAGACTTAAAGCCCAGCAAGGAATGTGGTCTGAAGGCCAGTTAATTCTGGCTCTAACCAACCATTCTGATAAATTGTGAAATAAACTGATTTCACCAGAGGTACTATCAGTAACTTAAACTGTGCTTTAGTAATATTGTTTCAGACAGTAACAATATAATTTTCAGTTGTGCTCAGTCTTCATTCTCCGGTGACTACTATTTACATAAGGTGTCTGCTTTTTTTTTTTTCTTTCTTTTTCTTTTTCTTTTTTCTTTTTCCTTTCTTTTTTTCCTCTTTTCCTTTTTCTGTTTTTCCCTTCCCCTTCCCCTTCCCCTGTTTCTTTTTTCTTTCCCCTTTTTGCCTCTTCCTTTTTTTTTTCACTATTTTCCTTCATTTTCCTTCCCCTCATCTCTTTTCCCTTTTCCCCTTTCCATTCTTTTTTTCCTTTTTTCACTTCTCTTTTTCCCTCTTCCATTTTTCTTTTTTCTGTGTCCATTTCCCCTTTTCTTTTTTATTCCCTTTCCCTCTCCCTTTTTTCCTTTTCCCCCTTCCTTTTCTTCCCCTTTTTTCCCTTTAATTTTTTCTCTTTTTTTTCTGCTTTCTTTTTTCTCTCTTCCCCTTTTCTGTTTTTCTTTCTCCATTTCCTTTTCCACCTTTTCCCCTTCTTTTTTTTCTCCCTTTTTCCCACTTCCTTTTTGCCTTTTTCCCCTTTCTTTTTTCTCCCCTTTTCCTGATGTTTCCTTTTTTCTTCCTTCCCCTCTTTCTTGTTCTCCCATTTCCTCTTCTTTTTATTCTCCCTTTCCCCCTTTCTTTTTCTTTCCCTTTTCTCCTCTTCCTTTTTTTCTTTCCCTTCCTCTCCCCTCCTTTTTACTTCCCCTTTCCCCTCTTCCTTTTTTATTTTCCTTCCACCTACCTTTTTTTCCCTTTCCCCCCTTCCGTTTTTTGTTTCCTTTTCCCCCTTCCTTTTTTTTCCCCTTCCCTTCCTGTTTTCATTTTTTTCCTTTCCCTTCCCGTTTTCCTTTTTTTTTTTTCCTTTTTTGCATTTTCCTTTCGTTCCTTCTTTTCTCATTTTTCCCTTTCCCCCTTTTTTCACCGGCTCCCTTTCCACTCCCCTTTTCCCCCTAGTGCCCAGGGCAGACAAACTTGTGTCCTCCCTTTTTGCCACGAGCCATTTCCCCGCGTGGGGGCCGAGCCGGACTCGCTGCTCTGGGACGGGGCCGCGGGGCCGCTCTGGCACTGTGGCACAATGGAAACGAAGGCGACAGGTCCCTGTGTCCCTCTCACCAGGAGCCCCCGGTCGTGCCCAGCCCCGGTGCCCGTCTGTCCCCCTCGGGTTTCTCCTCTCCTTGTGAGCTGCCTTTCCTAAGCTGATGTGCACGAGGGCTTTTTTTAATGCTGCTCCATAAAGAAGGCAATCAGCTCAGCTACTTCGTTTGGCTACAATAGAGTAGCTCCTAATCCTGCGTGGGATTTGTGCTAGCATTAAAAAAGAGGAGAGCAGATATTTACTGTCAGCCGCTCCCCCGGCACGGGCGCTCCCGGTGTGAGCAGGAGTCAGACCTCATGCATAAACATCTCCTGGGCCATTACGCTCCAGCTCCGGACATTTTCTTTCTTTCTTTCTTTCTTTCTTTCTTTCTTTCTTTCTTTCTTTCTTTCTTTCTTTCTTTCTTTCTTTCTTTCTTTCTTTCTTTCTTTCTTTTGCAAGCTGCTCCCGCAGACTTCTACAGCGCTGCCTGTTTACTCGCAACAGTGGTCGCATCCAAACAGGGATGAACACCTGGCCGTTCTGATGTCTATAAGCTGCCCATCTATAGGCAGACATTGTATATGGAGCCGGGTGGCTGGCTGTAAATGTATCTTTACAGAGGGCTCCAAAGCTCTGGGATAAAAGGCTGGAAATGGGGCAGAGGGACATCTGGGAAGGGACATCCCAGGGCAGGGCTTGGGAGAAGCTGGCACCTTGCCTCCCAGAGGTGCCGTACCTCTCCAGCATCCTCCGTGCTCAGCTGGAGCCAAATGTGCCCAGGACCACAGCACTGGCAACCAGGCAACT